ACCTAATTACCGCCTCCGAGTCCCCTTCAATGATCAAGCACCGAATGTTTAATTCTCTTGCTCTTTTGATTCCTTCCAAAGCTGCTAAAATCTCTGCCCTAAGAGAGTCACCCTCACCAATAGGGCCAGAGAACATAGCAAAAATAATCCCAGCCTCATTTTTGAAAACTCCCCCAATCCCAGAAGGCCTAGGATTCCTTAAACTACAACCATCAAAATTTAGTTTCATGAATCCTGAAGGAGGGGGGACCAAGAAGGTCTAGAGGCCCTTTTGCACTGAGCCGAGGTAGCAACTTCTTTCCACTTTCTCAAAAGATCAGCCATGGAGAACTCTGAGAAAAGCTCCAAAGATTTCAGCCAATGACTAACCCTTAAGTGTATCAATTCAGTTAAATTCTCCATAGATCTTTCCTTGTCTAAAAAAAGTCTAGAGTTCCTCTCTTCCCATACGGACCAGCACACAGCTGCTCTAATGCTTCTCCACATGATCTTCCCTCTTTTCTTAGGCCATCTAGAGAACGAGGGAGAGAACAAGCTTTGCAAACTCACGGGGGGATTCCAAGTGCATCCAAACAAGGATGAAGCCCATTTCCAAATAATCTTAGTAACCGGACAAGTAACCATAAGGTGATAAGCCGTTTCCCCATTAGCTTTACAAAGAACACACCTATTGGGAAGTAAGCAAGAATTAGGTCTCTTTCTTTGAAGCAAGTCGGTTGTGTTTATTCTGTCCAGTAAAGTTTCCTAGCAAAAACTACCAACCCGAGGAGGAATGGGTTTACTCCAAATCTCATTAACAGGGAAGGAAAGGCTAGAGGGAGCAGGAGGATGGACCAAGGTCTCAAAAAACGACACACAAGAGAAGGAACCATTGGAGGATGGGGTCCAAATTCTGGAGTCATCCTTACTCGGGTCCAAGAAAACATTTTCAAGGGTGGCTAGTAGAGATGACAGGCAGCCCAAATCCGTATCCCTTATTGTTCTCCTCAACACTAGATTCCATCCAAAACCGGAATTAGAATCAGAAGGAACTAAGAAAGAAGAAATGGGTTCATTCTTTAGGTCTGACAACGCATATAAGGAGGGAAATTGGTCCATCAGAGATGAGTCCCCAACCTAAGGCTGCTCCTAGAATTTTATGAGATTACCAGAGTTCAGATCATACCTTATCCAAGGGGAGAAAACCGGAAGCAAATCATGAATGGCTTTCCAAGGAGAAACAACTGTAGTCCTTGCCAAGATTCCTGGATCCCAGCGATTGTCTTCTAGCCCATGTATACTAGCCACAATCTTCGTCCAGAGTTTGTCCCTTTCCATTAGAAACCTCCATAACCATTTCCCCAACAATGCCAAGTTTCTTTTCTTGATATTCCTAATCCCAAGCCCTCCTAACTGCTTGCTTCTAATTACCACCTCCCAACTCACCCTATGGTCTTTCTTCTCCTCTCCTGTTTCCCACAAGAAATCCCTCATTAACTTTTCCATTCTACTTGAGACCTTTGTGGGAATGTTAAACACTGACAGAAAGTAAACAGGAAGGTTAGCTAGGGTAGACCTAATTAAAGTGATTCTCCCCCCTAGAGAAAGATAATTTTTCCTCCATGAGGCAAGCCTTTTCTCAAGTCTTTCCAGAACCGGGTTCCTGAAGCTGTCCTTCATGGGATTATCTCCTAAGGGGAGACCCAAATAAGTCAATGGCCAATCCGAAATTGCACACCCTAATAACCCTACATATTCACTTACCTCTCTCTCCTTCAAATTCACTCCCACCAAACAGCTCTTATCAAAGTTCACTTTTAGATTAGACATCTGCTCAAATAATTGTATGGCCAATTTCAGGTTCCCTATCCAATTTATGTCCCCACCTTCACAAAAAAGATCTGTGTCATCTGCGAACTGCAAGTGTGTTAGTGGTACTTGCTCCCTTCCTATTCTCCACCCTTTTACTAAGTTCCTCGCATCAGCTCTATGAATCAGTCTGCCCAAAACATCTAC